TGGAACGTATAGTGAGTTTACACTGATTTTATCCATTAGACATTACTATCTAATCAAAATCACAAGTACACACTTCTTATGACAGCAAAATTATTTGTCAATTTACGAGAAACTAAAGTAAAAACTGGTTCTAGATAATTATTACTGCTAAATCTATATGAAAACAGCTATTATAAATATCTATACTTAAATGAATAGCGTCATACGACGCTACCGCTGTCATATAAATATTCTTCGGTTTTCAGTCAATTTTGACAAACATTCGACTTTAAAACAAAAAAAACGACTTACCTAAACACTGTAGAAAACAGATTTTTCATATATTTAACACAAAATAAGATAAATCGACTTTATTTCTTCTAAATGTTCACATATTCACTTTAAAACACCAAAGGAGTCACCATTTTGTAACTAACTAAATGCTAGTAACTTCTTAATTCGTCAAACAGCCTACTTGATAAAAAAAACTATATTATGAAGACACTTTTTGCTCCAGCGCCTATCTTCGTTCGACAAACAGCGTTCTTATGTAATGTCTCTCTTTCTATTCGATACGTGCGTAAGAATCTCTCTGCTGATCAGTTTTTGCAAAATAATAGAATGAGATGGGTATGAAGAGCAAAGTTTTTAGGAATAACATACAGGGTGAGTCATAACTATTGAGACATAAAGTAAGCACAGATTATTTTAATCAGAAGATGAGGATTGGAATAAACGTGCCTTAATTAAATGTGGATAGGGAAAATATACAAGGTGATAAAGTTGAAATACTTTTTTCGTCTTTTGGTAACAATTTTACAATATATTCATAAATTTTTATCAAAAATGGCAGATTGGCATAACTTTAGATAAAAACATTTTATTTATTATTTTTAATTTTGTTACAGGGTGCGTCACATATACGATTCGTGATGTTGAAATTTGATCATATTTTTTTGACGAACCATTTAAAGTATTTCCTTCGTGTCTATAGTTACATGTTTTCTTTTTTCGTTTTCTTTTCAAATGCAACATCTAGTATATTATTAACGACATCAATATATATATATATATGTATGTCCAGTGTATCCCTCCCATCAGTGCGTAATTGATCGATAGCTGTTTTATTATTGGAGATAAGAAGACATTGTTAATACAGAAGTTGTACGATTATATTTTAAAATTATTCTTAGATATACAGGATAGTTTATAAATGAGGGATAAACCAAACTACTTATACTTTTTTAATGCATTTGATTGTTTTCACTTCGTCAAACAATTTTAATAGACGTTAACGTTCCTAAAATGTTTTGAATTTTCTTTATTTTGCAGTGAGGTAGGAGAGACCGGGACTAGTATGAACACTTTTTTTTGTAAGCAAAAAATACTCCAGGTTTATAAAATAAAATGCACCAATTTTTTACATAATCTTAATAAGAATATTTATAATAATTAATAATAACCATTTCCAAGCTAATAAACATTTTACCGGTATGTTCTTTGTTTACTCTAGTAAGTAAGTATGAAATGAAAAATTTTGCCCTACCTTTAAGTGACTGAAGCAGTTGGTGCTGGTAAAATTGACACGATATTCTTTCGATCTATCTGTAATAATATTATGTCTAGCACGTCAGGAAGCTGAAATTATTTGTCTTTTCTTGCGTAGGATATTCACAAAAACTTCTTCGTCCATTATTTAATCAGTGGATGGTGGCTTAATCCACGACACTTAGACCTCCTAGACCCATTCTGCATTCTCCTTAGTTAATAGGCGTTTCCTAGATCATGAGCCAATCTACAGATTTAATGTAGTTGACAACGTCGCCAAGAAGTATCGGCCGGTGTTAACCAATTCTCGCCGAACACAAATCTTCTAATAAATGAGAGAGTCGAGCAATCTTATATTCTTGTTCGCACCCCCTGGAGAGTGTGGATTCTGACAGCCCCATGATATGGAGATGCTTCGGAAATTGACAATGGCCAGTTATCTGTAATCAGGCGCAGATTCTGTCTAGTCATAATCAAGTATTTATTTGCTGTCATGTTGTCAGGATAACTTAAAGGCTCCCTGGCAAGTGTGCAGCTTTTTTCATCATCTTTTCTTGAATCTCATGAGGAATGGTTTGTCACTACCGATGTTGTCACTCCAATAGAAGGGATAGGCCCAAAAAATGATTAGCTGCCTTCTTGGCTAGTAAATCTTCAAGACTATTACTTTTGTTCCATCTCAAGTTGACAAAAAACCTTTCTATCTAACTCTGTGTCTGAAACTTTAACTTAAGTTGGTTGAGTTTCTCAGTAACTTTTGCGTTTTTGGCTCTAACTTGGGCTTTCAGTGTAGATTTTGCTTGTTTACGAAAGCTTTTAGTATTTTAAGTTTTTTATAATTTCCGACATTGCTCTGGTGTGATTTATCTCTTTCTAGATCGATCTCTCTTTTCAGCTTTGAATACAACCAGCCTTTAGCTGCTATTTGGTAGAAATCATTGGATCCGGTGGTATTGTTGACATTTGTTCCATCTGCACCTCTATCACTTGTTAGGTAATTTTAGATGGACCAGGTTGTTCTTATTCCAGACTTATTGGCAATTGATCAGTTACGTCTGATGTAGCACGATATGTGACTTCGTATGGCTGTAACACTTCTTCTCCTAGGGCTAGTCGATTCAGTGGCCACAATCCAGAATTGCTAAATCCAGACAAAATGTGTTTTGCACTGAAAGCTGACAAATAAGTCACTTATTACCACTTTTATGTATTCCTTGAATGGGCCGAATACTGACACATTAAGTTGCTGCATTCGATGTGACTAAGTTTCTCTTGCAAAATTGATTGCCTAGAGACTCACATGGCTTGAATGGTTGTCCATCAATATTAATAATCGAGGATCTGTAGAGCAAGGAAAGTGTTCTTTAATATGTTCCAGAACCTTCAAGAATAATTCACTGATTTATGAGCTAGTTCCGTGCTGCCAATAGGTGTTCCATCTGTAAATGTGTCTCTTATGTGCCCGCGGAGGAAAATAAAACTGGTGAGATAGCTACTCCTCATGCAGATATAATGGGAGTTATTATTTTATAATTCTATCTGGGATAAATTTTATACCATCTAGATTATGCAAATAGTTGACGAAAAACTGACCAGACATTTGTAAGCGGCTTCATGAGCCAAACTTGTGTTTTTTAGCTGTGTATCCTCATCAGCCATTTTATTAGCATTCCAAATATCTGGATGGTTTGTTTTATGTAGGACTATGACATACTGGAAGGCCAGCTCACGATTTTGTTTATATATCATGGCACATAATCACATAATTTTCTTCGTCCCCAGACTATCCCGAATCATATGCGTCAGGTATTTGGAGCGCGTGCATATTTCATGTTCTTTAAACAACTTTTAAAAATGTTCGTCCGTCCGATGTCACCACGTTTTTTGTCGACACGAAAGTCAAAAACGAAAAATTAAATTTCCAGAAAAATCAAGCTCTGCAATAGAACGAGGCCTATGAATTAAAATGGGAAGTTAAGGGAGTTGAGTTTTTAAAAAAAACATGAATCAAAAACAAAAGCAAAAAGCGATATTAACATGAATTTTTTAGCAAAAATCAGCTCTATAAGGGGACGAAACCTATTGATTTAAAAATTGGGGGGTCTGTTAGACTTTACAAAGCATAACATAGATCGCCAAGCATTAACGTCTGGCCAAAATTTCCTAGGAAGTTAAGGAATTCTCTTAGAAATTGATCAAACTCAAGATAATTTTCTTATTAAATTTAGATTTACCAAATTCTAGGGAAGAGATCTAAGCAAAGCGTGCAATCCTGCGTAAAAACAATGACTGAAAAATATGCAGCCTCTTATACCGAACTGTCGTTGGTTTGATCTGATTTTCTATCACGGTTTTTTAATTTTGGCTATACTGCCGTCATACGCCAAACCCCTGTAACTGACATATTACAAATATTTTGAGGTCATTTGATACTAACCCCTTATTTCTTATTAAAGAGCAATCAAAATCCCGGTAATATTTATTGTGTATCCTAAAAAGTCAACTTGATTCTACACTGTAACTAACATTCCTAGTAAAAATCTTGCAACCCACACACCAACAGAAAAAGTTAAATCAAATCTATTTTTAACTAGTTACAAGCATTATCCAAAAATTGTCTTTAATTCAACCAAAGCAGCTATATTGGTACCACCGAAAAAATGCTGGCTGGTACTAATAAATTTCTTTTCTTGCAAATATCTCCATTTCATAGAATGCGTAGTAACTGGGTTTTACTTATGACGGCTGCATAGTTTTCTATATAAGATAATAGAAATTGCTATGTGAAACAACTTTTAGGTACATTTCTTTTACCTGAAGCCTTATACTTACGAATTAGATGTTTGCAAATAAAATTTCAAATCTAATCACATTATTATAAATCTATTTTATACCAATTTTTAATTTCTCCATTTTGAAACAACTGATTGTTTCGTTATATTATTGTCGGAAATGCATCCAACATGTTGCATCGTTTCATTGGGCTGGCCATGCACAATAAATTCCTTAGTTTTAAAAAAAATTTAGTTGCCAAATGTTAGACAAAAAAATTAAATGGATTTATCGATCCACATCAAATCTTACTGTCAAAACGTTTTTTAACACGTTTACAAATTATTTTTATAGCAATAATATTAATATTTTTTAAGCAATTCTAAATTACGTACGTAAACGTGTTGTATAATCTGGAGTTTTATAATCATTACTTAAATTTACTATGTAATAGTTACTAAGTTTTGTTATAGAGTTTCTTTAGACTCAAATTGTTTTATAAAATTAAGCTCATTTTGGAAGTAGTAGCATTATATTATAGTGTTTAAATGCGTTAAATGATTTATATATTTTTAGATGATAATAGTATGCTGTGTAAGACTTCTAACAACCTTTATAGTAGGTACTTGTTTTTGCTTGTTGGGAACTGAATGACAAATTGAATATTTATTAATCTTAATTTATAAACTCATGATTTTCAGGTAAACCAGTTTTAAAGAAAAAAGAAATCATAGAAAGGCTGTACGACAACGACAACGGCAAAGAGTCGTACGAAGAAAACAGGTACGATTCCGACAACAACGACATCTACCACTCAAAATCGCACAGAGAAATACTCGAGATGACCAACAATCACAACTACAATGACGATCTAGATAACGAGGTAATGCCGCAAATAGGTTTTGATGATGATTTTGATCATAGTTTTAGAACTGGAAAACTCTATACGAACGGAGATAGTCAATCTATGAAAAATATCGATAATAATGTTGTTAAGAAACCTGAAAGTAAGAGCAATACGGTGAGAACGACTAAAAGCAATTCTGGAACAATGAATGGAATTACTAATGGTAATAAAAATGGAAATGTAAGTACTTACTATTAATGTTCACACTATGTAGTGATATTTGTTATTTTTACAATTTATTGCTCCGATATTAAATATTTAACGCCACCATATTTGAAGCCCTCTTTCAATTATAAAGTATTAGTGACAAACACATGGAAACATCATTACTAATAAAATGTTAAGAAATTAAAGAATATGCTTTAGATACGGTAAAAGCCGACTTCTAATTTACTAGAGGTTCCTATGATAAAATTACTGGTAAAGTTTGTATATCCCCTGAATTAGTTACATGTATTTTTGTATTTAAAAAGGTTATAGGCTTTTGCCAGGTAAATAAGGACGATCTCGTCAGTTTTCAGTTAGGCATTAATTAAATCGATTCCTCGGTCATTTGAAGTACACATCAGTATCTCAGCAACCTCTATCTGCTTCCCATGTCCAAAATAAGATATCACGTATAAAATCCAAAAATATCTTCTGCATTTACATTAGGCATTTTCGGAAACCTACTACATATAACAAATCCAGATTACTGGGTTTACCTGATGGATCGCGTGGATCACTGAACTTTGTGCCGACAGTTTACGAACGAGTTGGATTATTGCTCATGTTTATCTACATCTGTCAATCTTTGACTTTTCCCTTTATTTGTTAAAGAACCATTTAAATTAAACATATTTGTAGTCTGACTAATAAAGTCGCATTACGGGCATAAAAATTACAAGTTATAACTAATTGAATGTAGAAAAAACTTCAAAGCTACTACTGGCAGACACCAAACACTAAAAAATTGCGTTATCCCTTTCTAAAATCCTGTGGTGCGCTTGCAGATTTATTAATAACCTACTCGTAGAGTGGGTTAGAAAATATTGATCTTGATCATAAAGCTGAATCAGTAATCTACTAGTTTCCGAACACGGATGGAGTTAGTAACCATAGGTAAATGAACAATAGGATTCATAATCTTTCTGATCCGAGTAAGTTTTCGAAAACGCCTATTCAAAATAACATTATTTTCGCCATCCCCATTCAATGTAACTAAAAATAGATTTCGGCCCATTAAAGGATAACTATGATAGATAGTAATGAGATGAAACGTTTCAATTTGTAAGATACCGAAAAAATAGGTTAACTAAAACTTGTCATCGCATAATAAATATCCTTAAGAATTTATACAAATAAATCTCGTATAAATTGCATGAAACTAAAAATATTAATACTAACACTTAGCCATATTATATCGATAGCTTTTGTTAATCAAAAATAGGAATTAATTAATAAAAGATGGCTAGGAAATAGAGACTTATTGCAAATTTCTATAACGTCACCCACCAATAGTGACAACGTATTTAGAGGCAAATAAATTCCGTGCTAAAATAAGACTTATTGCAAACCTGAAATTTTGCTATAAGAGTCAATGGGGTCTATTCTGTAACAATTTCTTTATATTTACCGGCCTTTAAAAATATTGGCGGCCTATAAAAATATGTTCGTATTCGTCAATTTACTTCTGTCATTATTTAAACAGATTTCTTTAAGATAGTCCTCTAATGTATTTTAAAGATCCGTTTAAATAATGACAGAAGTAAAGAAGAAAATATTTTTAAAGGCCGTTAAATATAAAGGAATTTTTACAGAATAGACCCCACTGTCCTTAATAATTCTAACCTCATTTTAAAAATTTTAAATTGCAGTTCATCTTTTTTGTTTATAATAGTACATAATATGGAAGAGGCATTAGAAATTACCATTTTAGAAGGTTTAGATGACGATAATATTAAACATTTTATATTAAAAAATTTCGAAGTCGCCACTAACTGTTGTCCTTAAACATCCACAATTAAGGACGAACACATCTTTTAAAATGTTGAACCCTTACCGAAGACAAAACACAAAATTGTGGCACTGATTAGGGATAGGATGCTAGAGGTGGAAGAAAAATAACTGTTAGAAATTTATTTCATTTCTAATTACTTTCTTTCCTCTCTGCTAATTCTGCTAATGTCTCTGACATCCACAAATTATATTCAAATACCTGACAACCCTTTTTAACAACGTTGATAACAATTTGGCATCCAGTGACCATCACCACCCACATTAGAGAGATATTGCAAATTTCTATAATGCCAGCCACTAATAGTGACATCGTAATTAGAGTCAAATAAATTCTATGCTAAAATCAGACTTATTGCAAATCTGAAATTTTGTCCTTATACTTATTTCTAACCTCATTTTAATAATTTTAAATTATAGTTCATCTTTTTTGTTGTTTATAATAGTACATAATATTGAAGAGGCATTCGAAATTATAATTAAAGAAGGTTTACATGACGATTATGTTAAATATTTAATATTAAAAAACTTCGAACGGATACGAATGTCGGCGAGTGCACCCGAAAGATATAAAGTCGCCACTACCTGCTGCCCTTAAACATCCACAATTAAGGACAGGCACAATCTTTAATAAAGTCGGTTTTAGAACATAAACGATCTGCGCATGCTTAGATGTCAAAATAACAGCGGCACTAATAGTGACTGACTTTAAGTGAACTTGCAATAACTATTTTGCTCAACTTATAATAAATCAATCAATTACATACAGTAATTCCATTGATTTAGGTAAAAATGTTTTTTAAGATTTATAATATAAACTTTTAAGATAATCGCTAATCTTATAAAAATGTTTTGTTTATTTATCAAATATTTTTATGACAAAATAAATGTATGTCTCGCAGCAAATTTGTGTATGGTAAATCAACATCTTTAAAGCTTTAACAAATCAGATAGATATCATTTCAGTTTAAAAAATAAAATGATCGCGTTTATTGGGGGCTACTTTTGCCCAATCAATAAAAGAATGTACCAATGTCAAATAATTTTGTAATCATTTATTCAAATGAATGAAAATAGATTCTTAAAGTCCTTTAATTGATAATTATAGTTGACCTCCATCTTGAAGACCAATTAAAAAAATCAATAACGAGTTACATCTTCATTCATATAATTAACAACCCATTAAACAGAGACAATCTCCCGACAACAAACCACCCCCACAGTTTTGTTGAATAAACTTTTGTAAATCTAAACATCAATAATTTTTGACCTTCAGTCCTAGTGCGTGTTTATAGTTGCGAAAGTAAAAATACGAATTATTAGGTATCTGTGATCTAGATTATAAAAACATGATATTTTAGTTGAAAAAATGAAACATTGTAATAAAAGCAAACAAGCATGTTTCGTTTCGTCTTGTTTTTAATCAGTGAATCTTCAGTTGTTCTGTCCCATTAAGAATGGGACACTCTATATTTTAAAACACATAATTTGCATGTGGTAGCAATTTTGACTAAGCGTGAAAATCAGGACAACAGCAAAGAAATGTGTTGTTTTAATGATCGATTACACACGTTTGATTATGTTTAGCAGGTCCCCTGTCACTAACTTTGTGATACTTACGTGACCTGGTCTAATGTTAAAGTATTCTCTAATATGTAAGCACCTAATCTTGTCTCCCCCTGTATTACAATGTGAGGTGGTAGCAAGCCTATTAGTGCTTCGATTGCTGTTGTGGGGTTTGTTCTTATTACTCCAGTTATTCCAAGACAGGCAAGTCTTTATATCTTGCTTAGTCTCGATATTGATGCTTTTTCTTGTGTCTAGTCACCACACCAAAGCTGCGTATGTTTGTATAGGTCTAATCACCTTTTTTTTTGTCCAACGGAGCGTTTTGCGATCACTAGTGATATTTCTGCTCTCCTTATTTTTCTTTTCAAATATTCAATGTCCAGGTAAGTTTCGAATCAATTGTAACCCTAAGATACTTTACCTCCCCATTTAGTTGGACGTTTCACCTCGGAAGTTTAGTGGTTTTACTCACCTTCTAACTTTCTCCTGCTCATGAATACAATTATGATAGATTCGTTGGGACTAATTTTTAGTTCTTTTTTTTTATCTATTTTGTTACTATGTTTAGAGCCTCTTACATACGATCTATAACAGTAGTGTTGTGTTTACCTTAGATCATCGGCTTATCCCAGAGTTTTATTTCCATTATTTTTGAGAGTCCTTAGCAGCCATCTATGACTAGATTTCACAGGAGTGGAGACAATACTCCTCTCTACGGGCATCTCCTCGCAACCTAAGCTGATATCGTCTCTCCCACTCACCTCGTTCTTCTCCGCCGTTTTTAACCGACGGTTAAAAACGTCACTGTAAAAATGTCACAAAAACGAGGTGTATGGGCAAGAACGTCGTTTATGAACGTCGTTCCAAAATTTCAGGCGAGGCTTGATTTTTGTCAGTTATCATGCCAACCGTTCGAGTAAACACGAGGTGTGTGTTCTCAACAGTTTGACTGATCGGGTATTTATCAGTGGCAGTGACGTTCAACATGTTTTTGTTGTTTATTATTATTATTATTATTATTTACAACTGGTAATAATAAAAATGTCGGATATTAGGCAGTGGAACAGAGACTTTTTATTAGAGTTTATCGAGCTTGGCAGGTTTCGGGTATTATGCGTCCTAGAGCCTGCGGTAAAATAATAACAGGAAACTTCAGATCCTCGTAGCTGCGGCCAGTGACCAGAAACCGCAGAGTAGCTGTTAGGCGTTCGTGGGACTGATGCATTCACGTAAATGGGTATTATGTTTCTCAATTAACGGTGTTACTAGTTTTAACAGTTTCCAATATGTATCATCGTCCATCCTGAAGTAGTTGTGCCAATCGCCAGGCTCCAATCTTAGTTCCTCCAGTAAATTTGTATGTGACAGTGTGCGTTTAAGTAGCCAGTCTTTAGTCCATTTTCTTCGAGATTTTTTTTTTTCGCAATTTGTTCACACTGTCAAAACCGCTGCCACTGCTTAACACGTACGGTCCATCGTGATAAACTGGCGCGAAAAAAACTGTTGTGTATGGACATATCAGTCAACATTCTTCCTTCCAATGTTTTTAATCGTCGGTTAAAAACGGCGAAGAAGAACGAGGTGAGTGGGGCCCTTAATGGTTACATGTAACAGTTTTGGCATAGCGCGGCCGCATACTGCAAAAAGTGACCAAGTCAAATTTTATGTGATTTGAGTTAATATGGCCAAATCACTTAAAATCAGATCTACCAAAAAAAAGTGACCAAGTCATATTGGTAGAGTTAGTACTTTCAGGCAGTATAAATATGACCTGGGGCTTATTTCATAAAACTGCTTTGGAACTTTTCACTTTGCATAATTTATGGTGGATATTATTTGTTGCACTAGGTGTAAGTTTTTTGCAATTATCGCATTTGATTTGTACAGTGTAGCTTCAAATATTTGACACATACTTGCGTATAGCATATACTTTCGACAAGAATGACAGTTCGAATACAGTTTCGAGTGTAACACTAGTGCAACAAATAAATTCCACTAATAGTGATTTTATGTTTAAAAAAATAATTGACTAGTTAAAAAGTCAAATTTAAAGAGCCATTTAAGTGATTTGGTAATAATAATAATAATAATAATTCAAATCACATAAAATTTGACTTGGTCAATTTTCGCAGTAAACCCACGGTAGGGTTAATCCAGGTCACACATCTGTCCTCGATTCCTCTATGTTTCAGAGTTCTGACGATAGAGTCGATGGAGGTATTGTCAAATTATCCCTCGATGTCCAAGAATCCAGCTCCTATTTTTACCTTCTTGTTTTCCAATGAGTGTTCCGCCCTTTTTACCAATTAATGAAGATATGTTTTGTTTGATTTTCCTGGTTTAGTCGTCTTTAAACCAATATTTCGTCTCCAGTGTGTCTATCTAGCAGTTTCTCTAATATATTAAGTACAAAGACATTAAACCTGTTGGTCTTCCCCTTATTTGATTTTCCCAGGTTTTGGTATAAAAATTACCCTAATATTTCGCCATGCTCTTGGTATAAAATATCAGGTCTTGTTTGTAACATTATTGGATAAATCCTGTCAATTCCTGGTTGATTTGTTTGGTCCAAATGAGTTGTACAGTTTGTGATACTCCACCATTTTTTGGCAGACTGCCAATCTTCCCCGTTGACTTCCTAGCTTTTAGTCTAATTGGATCCAGAGTAATGAACTCTAAAGAGTTCTCTTATCATTTTATTTCCTGTTCTTGTGTATTTTCCTAAATGGAGTCTGGCACATTATTGAATGTTTTCTATCTCCGCTTTGTTGTAACTGGTCCGTATGCTGCTATATTCCTCGGATCTCCCCGTTTCTTTAGACTAATTTTTCCTTAATTGTTTCCTTAGTTTCACAAATGTCTTATTCCATCTTGGATCATTCCTGGTGGAGTTCCTTTCTACTAAAGGACTATGTCATCGAATTCCACAGCCATTTAAAGATCTGTAAAGAATTGCGCTCTTTTGTAGATAATATAAGTGGTGTTTCTATAGCTTTTGCTAGAAAATAATTATATTTTTATGTCTAGGGACCGAGATTCCGATAATTTTCCCTTTAAGGTTAAAGAAAGCACCCTCTTTGAATCTAAAAGTCGTTTTCTTTTACACAAAAAGATTTACTTGTATTTTGCACATATAAGGACAGAGAATGATATTTTAGATCGAATTTGAAAGAATTTTAATAGAAAAATCTAGCGTACAAATTGAAATAGAGTGCCGGTCATTATACCGGTACAGGGTATGCCATAAAGTTGCATGAGATTTTTTTAATATTACGATTGGAAAAAAAAAGATCGTCTACTCACTTCAAATTTTAAAATAGCCCATGTCAAAGTTGGCTAATGTTATTTTAAAAACATAATTTTTGAACGATTTTTCACAAAAAATACCGAATTTGACAGATAACTAATGCAGTTCTTAGCCAACTTTAGCATGGGCTATTTTAAGTTTATAAAAAAGCAACATTTTTCCAATTGTAATATTAAAAAAATCTCATATGGATCCACTGTATATCTAAATTACCCTGTATTTACACTTTTTAACTTCAACCAATCCTGTTTTATAATTTCATCGAAATTTGTCTTCTGACAAACTGTCAGTTTTTGTATCGTGTCAACTTCTTTCATTATTAAGTGATAAAAATTATTATGTAAAAAAAAATAATTCGTAAATCTCTACGTATTTACAGATGATATCAGTATAAGAAATGTCTAATTTTCAGATTGCAAGCAAGAGGGCATCATTGACGAACGATAGCAAACGAATCGCCTCGAATCTAAAAAATAACGTATCGTCTCAGAAAAATAATAAAATTTTGAATACATCCAGGAATAATAGTCACGCGTTGAGTATGGGTGATAAGGTAAGTTTTTTCCAATTTCTTCTGGTTCGACATAAAATGTGCCGTTATTTTTAGGGTTTTTAATGCGCTATGAACTTTAACCTTAATTTTTTTTAAGATTAAATTTTTAAAATTAATCAATTATTTATAATCTGATATGTAAAATACGGCGTAGAAAATATATCACTTTCAATTCTGTGCTTTAATCTGACCAAACTGGCAATAAACCACCCCTTTTACATGTTGGCCACACATATTCGCCACAAATATTGGCACTGTTTAAATTTCATAATATACATTTTTAAATTTAAACATCCCAGTCCAGGCCTATGTTTAAAAAAACACCTGCATTCAAAAAATTTACCTAGCAACAAGACATATTTAAAAAAACATACAGAGTGGCCCAAAAGTCTAGAAACGGTCAATTATCTCCTAAATTGCTAGTTCTAATTGTACAAAATTTGGGGTACACCTATTTTGGGATACGGTTATTCCAGATTTGATATTTGCAATGTTGCCAGATTTGCCGTTTCTCTTAAATTATTAGTCACTTTGGTTTTTCAACTTCCTCAATCTGTATATTCAGTCATTATTGGAATCTCCTATTCAATACGAGTTCAACCATATATAACACTTATAATTTTATGTAGTCTGGAAAGTCTTAAATAAATAAAATAAGTCTGGCAACGCCTAATTGTCTCAATAAATTTTTTAATACAAACTATTTTCAACTACATTAAAACGTAACAATTGAAAGATTATAACATTTTTAACATAATGGTTATTTTATCAAGTGTTCAAAATGTGCTCCATTTGTGAGTTGACAGTACCCTAATCGATGGTAGAATGCCTCTACCACATTTCTCCATGATTGTTTTATTTATTTAAGACCTTCCAGACTACATAAAATCATAAGTGTTACATATGGTTGAACTTGTATTGAATAGGAGATTCCAATAATGACTTAATATATAGGGTGATAAATTTGAAAAACCAAAGTGTCTAATAATATAAGAGAAACGGCAAATCTGGCAACATTGCAAATATCAAATCTGGAATCTCTGTATCCCAAAAAAGGTGTAACCCAAATTTTGTACAATTAGTATTAGCAATTTACGAGATAATTGGCCGTTTCCAGACTTTTGGGCCACTCCGTATATTCTGTCCTTATAAAGGTACCATTTGGGTAGGCGCGTCAAGCTTGAGAAGTGTCGCGCGACTGTTACAGGAAAACCATTCGAGGAAACGATCAGCGTTGCCAGACCTACTGTTTTCACGTAGATCCACTGTTTTTGTCTCTAGCAAATTATGTTCTTAATTTATTAAGTTTGCCTCATTCTTCAGCAAATGGTTAAAGAATATTTTCTCTAGTAAATTTTCTGCAGTAAAAGCAGTGTAATAAGCATCCACCACTCTAGGTTGGCTCTATAAAAAAAAACATCAAGATAATCATTGTTTTTATTTAAAATGAAACAAAGAATTAATAGGGCATCATAAAAAGAACATGCACACTACGATTTTGAATTATCTGATTCAGACTGATCTAAAAGAAGTAGGTACCTATTATTTTTCATTGTTTTTTTTTTGTTTCCGTACGTTAAGTATATATTAAAAATGTTATTTGTGTTTATTCTTTGTTTACCTTCTAATTTGGGTCGAAAAAAGTTTATTTTCGTTTCTTTTATACTTGTTTTTTTATTTACTACACTGCAAATTTTAATTATTTTCCCCTGTATTAAAATCTACTGTTCAGATCTACGGTTTTTTTTACCCATACTGTTTTAAAATCTGGCAACGCTGCCTAGATCGAAAGAAATTTCCGACCGAATCACCCTCAAAAAAAAGCGATGCCGAGGACAGTGACCTCGAGTGCGATACGCAGCAAAGCTTTGCACCGAGAAGTGTTTCCAGGACGACACTTCTCGGTCATGTCGCGCCGTGCGAAATGTGTTTCATATAATTGTATGTATTTTAGATGTGAAGCGACACTTCTCGGTCGTGTCGGCGGTCGTATGTCGCGTCGGCGGTCGTCTGTCGCGCCTACCGAAATGGTACCTTAAGTATATTATAATTTATACTCTTTTTATGTTCTTTTATCTTGAAGAAATTGATAGATATAAAGCGAGTTTTAAAAGTATTTATGAATGATTTTTTGCAGTCATCCGTACAGGAAGTTCGCACGCCCACCGTACACCGCAACTCCGACAAACAACAAAGCCCCAGGACCGTGGTGGCCCGAGACGATCTCAACGAATGTAACTACTGCGGTAGACGGTTCGCGCAAGATCGCATCCAGAAGCACGAAGAGATCTGTTCGAAGACGGGAAAGAAGAGGAGAAAACCGTACGATGCCACCAAGCACAGAGTGGTCGGGACCGATTTGGAGACGTACGTTATGGCTAAAGTACCGCAAAGGAAGAGTTTGGGAAGTACAACTAAAGTACGTGTAGTTGAAAATTTTCTATATTTTAGAGCATAGCAAAATCCGCATATTTTTATGTGGAAGAACGACATACTTTCAGAAATACCCATTAGAAGCGGTTGTGTCGTTCTTCCCGTATACAAAGTTGCAAGGTAATAATGATAAAGAGTGACTTAAATTTAGTTATGTTCCGACTGTCAATCAGACAAAATCGTCCAATTTTGACTAGATTGACATAAATCAAAATATGCCAGTTTTTTTAAAATAAACTAGAGACATTTTCTTCAATGGTGACACAAGTCAAATGATGACATTGTTGTTGAGAAAGTCGTATACTTATCAGAAAGACCGTCATGATTCAAAAAAGAGATGAAAATATAATGTGTATTTGGGTGTTTTCTAAATTTTAAAGCAAACTTGTTTTTGTTTAAATACAATTTGAATATTAATTTTTATTTTGAAAAAATGTTTAAACATTTTTGAATTGCCGTATCAAACCGGAAACAAGAAATTTTTTTATGAATATCCTCGAAAATTCATACTTTTGAGTTGTGTACCAATTTTATATATAATTTTCAATGTAAAGATAGTTGTAAATCATCAATGACACTATTCCCTCGTTAGAGTACTACCAACTTATTAAACTTCAAAAGAATTAAATTCCAATACCCAAATGTGACCAATTTAAAAATGAACAAAGAAAAAAACTTAAAATCCTTGTCACAGAAACAATGAGCGACCATTTCGCTCCTAAACACAACTACTCATTTGGGTAATACTGCAACAGGACTTGCATCGTGTCCAGGAATGACGTTCTCATTAGTTAAAATTTATAAGTTATAGTGTTGAAAATTATTTTCTATCTCTGATATTTACCTTTTGATATAATGCAATACCTATTGCGGTATAAGCCAAAGGAGTAGTTGTTTTTAAGTTGTTCGTTATTTCTGTGAGACGGAGTTTTCTCTTTTTTCTTCTTGTTTATTTAAAATTTCCTTAATTATTCTAATAATCCGAAATATATAATAAATATTCACGGCCTATCATGAAGGTAGTAATATTGAGATGATTTATTGGATAATTGCTCTGCTGTTGATTTTGCAGGTGCCATTTTTTTAATGTTTTGGGAAAATAAGTCTTTCTTTGCAAAAATGTAAATTATATAAAGATACAATTTGGTTCTCCAAAGAAATTATAGACAAAATAAAATCTAAAAATAATTTAAAACTTTGCAGTTAACGGCAATATTATTTCTATAATGAAAGAAAGTGAAGTGAGAAAATCGGTTTAGATCCGAAATTAAATGCAATTTTCAGAAATAATGAATGAAAAATCCTTGAGTCCCCCTACAAAATTATGAAAATTGCACCCTCTAATCTGAAAACAAACTAAAGAAAAATTGAAAAAGCTGAGAATTGAAGAAAAAAAATGAGCGCGTCCGAATTTGCAAATTTAAAGTCAATCAGACATGTCCGGAAAAGTAGTGAAAAGTCACAATGAAAAGTAATCGACCTTAAGCATAGAAGATAGACAGTTAAATCTCCAACCTAAATATTTTTTCACAAACACATTGAGAATAATATTTGAATTTTTATTTCCGTGTTTTAGGCAAATCATTTGTAAAATACTTTCAACCTGATTTTTTGGTAATTTTTATAGTCAGTAATCATTTGTCGTTTCTTCTTTTTTAAACTATATTTTGCCTTTGTTTGCAAAAAATTCAGACAAATTAGTTAATTTAATTTCGCTTATGCGTAATACACTTTTCCACTTTTGAAAAGTGTATTTGGACTAATCAACTTTTCAGTAGTCCGTCAGACTTGTCCGTGAACTTTTCCAAGCGACCCATCACTAATTAATAATATACTATAACAAATTTCTAATACCCTTCATTCGTTTAATGGTGTTAAATTTTCAAGTACGGTACGCCGTAAACGTGAATTATCATGAAAGAAAGTGAAGTGCGAGAATCGGGTTAGATCCGAAACTAAATGCAATTTATGGAAATAATGAAAATAAAAAAAAAAACTAATTATGAAAATTACACTCTCATATCCCCAAACTGAAAACAAATCGAAGAAAATTGATAAACTTGAAAATTAAAGAAAAAAACTAGTGCATCGTCTGTAACCTCGAGCTTGGGACGTCCATGCTCTGACAAAATATTATTTTTTTACGAACGTTCGCAAAATCTAAGATTCCTAAAATTTCAAATAAGAAATAATAAATATATTTGAAAATACAGAAAATCAATGTTCGGATTTGCTCATATTAATTGTTTTTAAATATTTTTTAATCTTTTTGATTTTTGTAATCGATTAATTCCTACCTTTTGTTTTATTATTATTATTAACAGTTAACGATTTGGGAACATTTTTCCCATAACGCATTTTTGTTAAAAAATGCCAATACTGCCGGCCGGCCGATCGTCACCAACCGTTGTACACCTAAGGTAATTCCAAACATAAGGAAATATTTATTGTTATCCCATTAAGTTATTATTACAGTCCACTTATCTCGTACCAAAAAGAATTACTGAGTCAAGATCCAACATCAACTCAAAGAGGACCCAATCTTTCTGGAATGTTGTGTAATCAAAAAAGAAAAATTCGCAAATATCTGGGTAGCATGTTGTATAATAATAAAAACGTTTCTTTTCAAATGATAACGATAAGGATCCTGCGCTTGATGGCATTGAAGCAGAAGAGTTAATCGTTAACAACTGTTTGTTATTCAAAGATGTTACAGAACAAGTCACGTGTTGTTAAAATGAAAACATTAAAAAAATTACAAAATAAACTCAAAGTTTGAGAATATTTTACAAAGAAACGAAAATGCTAATATTGTTCCTAAAGTGTTTTTGAAAATGCATGGATTGAGAAATATTTAACTGTGTGTCTTATATGTCCAAGAGATACCAAACAACAGTTTCTGGGAAAAAGGTCAAAATACTAAAAGAATAGGGAACGAAATATTATTTCTAGTAGTACTAGTGGTAGTCCCACAATACATCTGAAAAGATGGCGGTGGACATGACAAATAATGTCCAACTCCTTTTAAATCTAATCTTTAAATCTACTAGTGGTATAGTGGTATGTATACGTTATACTTTTATATCAAGTTTTTTCAAGATCGACTACTTTTTCGGACATATATCCATCAAATTAATCCAAAAATTACTTTTTATCAAGAGTCCCATACTATATAACAATATTACATCAGAAAAACATATTTGTAGATAATCTAAAAACTTTAAAGAGAGATTAACAATATATCGAGCTGTTTCTCCTGCAAGATCAGTACAAACTAGATGAATGGTGTGAGGAAAATAAATTGTTTTTCAATTGTAGTAAATGTAAAATATTGGAATTTTCAAGAAGATTATCTCTTCTGAGCAACTACAGTTCGGACAATCTTAGGCAAAGAATCTTGGTGTTTTATTCGACCGCATACACATTTAATCTGTTTTTTTTTATTAGTATTCGTTTTTATTTGTACTTTTAGAGAAATAGTTATTACGATGCGCTTAAGTCAGTCTATGAGACATTAGTTAAAAGCAAATTGGAATATTGCAGACATAATTTAAGGTTATGATTTTTGGGTTGCTGGAACATAACCGCCTCTAGTGAAACAAACATCCCCATTGATTTGTTTCGTTAAAAAAGCTATGGCTTTTATAGATCAATAATGTATCTTCTTTCATTACAGAACACACAACGACAGTCTGTAACCACTAGCACTGGACATAAAAAAGACTGGCGAAGAACACACGAAGAATTCATTTCGGCTATTAGAGCGGCAAAGGAAGCGCAGGCGCACATAGCTAAGGGAGGAAAACTTTCTGATTTACCACCGCCGCCTCCATCGACGAATCCAGATTATGTGCAATGTCCACATTGTAACAGGAGGTAAGCCACATACTTGATAGATATATCAAATAAGGCCAAAGGTCAGCGCCAATGACATCTTGGATTACTATTAAACCTCAGATAAATAAATAAATAATAGATACAGCCCTATCATGCAATATTTGTAACCAGCATCTCCTCTCACTAGATAGCAGTGGTTACACGACTTGATTGGATATTCGCTATTTTGGTTACACACCTGATTGGTTAGCAAAAAATTGACAGGACTACGTCAGTTAGGTTAGTTATTTTATGGTTATTTTGTGGTTTATTTCGTACTTTAATTGGAAAATTTTTGTGGTTTAAGTTATTTTAGTGCATTTAATTGCTTAAAAATGCCAGTGAATTGTATTGTGTGCTCGAGAAAGTATCTCAAGTTCAGTTCGATAACGTTTCATAGGTAAGTAAATAAAAACCATTACCGTTGCATCACACTTTTTTGAGGGGTATCATAATTCAAAATAAGGTTTAAACAATAACAATTTATTTTAAAGTTTAAAATAACATTCAACGTCGAATTTCGAATTATTTTATTGTGCCTGTGTTTAATAACTTTGAACTTATTAATGGGCTATCTTTAAATTAAAGTTATATTGTTATGCACACTGTACATTTAAGAAGGCTCTAGTGGCATTTACTTTAGTTATAAAATCTTAGTATTGCTTTATTTTAATGACAAAATATATAAATAGAACACCATAGTTATTTTAAAGTATACTATGTTGCATTCTGTATTACATGAAATCCTATATGAATAAGAAAACCCTATTTTATACCTATTTAGGTTACCAAAAGATCCTCAAACTAGATATATGTGGATGAAGAGTTTGGGTATACGTGAGGATGAAGAGTGTATTCAGTAGAATTTGTTCTAGACATTTTGAGGATTCTGCCTTTGCTAAGTCTCCAGAAGGAAAAATGTTTTTAATGAAAGGAGTAATGCCCTTAGTTTACTCACAGCCTGAAGCTGTTCCTCAACTGGAAACTATGTCACATTCTACACCTTCTACATCTGAAACTAAGTGAGTATTTGAACAAAAACTATAAATAATAAAAATGTTTTTTTGTCTTTGTTTAATTAATTTGAATATTCCTAAGTATTAGTACGGTAACCAAAAATTTTGTAATTTTTTTAATTACCTATTCATGTTATTTTAATAACACAATAATATATGTAATTATTATGATATGTTTTCTTATTGTCTAAATTAAAATAGGTTTCATTTATCTCAAGTGAATGTATATTATATTTACTTATTATATAGTTACACGTCACATAATTAATTTAATTACTGAATTACTGTGTTTATCAGAATACTAGAGAATAAAAGCTTACAACAAGGTGTTGTTTTATTGAGTAGTATATAAATATGGCATACATCATAGCCTGCATCTGCCTGAGCAAGAACAGGCTTCGTATTGTAACAGGGATCCTTACCGGGCATTATCGACTTAAAGGACACCTTAGTAAACTGAGAGTAGTAGAGGATAGTGAGTGCAGATTCTGTGAGGAGGAGGACGAAACCTCAATTCACATTCTACCTGAATGTGTAGTACTCCAGAATCCAAGGGCACTATACCCAGTAGGAGGATATCAAATAGAAAAGAGAGAGAGATTTACCTAACACGAAGCCACTCCAAATCCTACACTTCCTTGGGAAGATAAGATTGGAAGGGTCATTATAGGCATTGAGACATTTCCTTGGTGCATTGGCGACAGAAGGGGCACAATAGATCTTTTAGATTGCAGTGTATTAACACCCCATTCCCAACAACATCTCAAGTGAATGTATATTATATTTTCTTATTATCACGTCTCATAATTAATTTAATTTGTAAATTGTGTGGTAGGAAAATTGTTGGGTTTTATTTATCTGTAGTTAATGAATATTAGTTTTAGTTATGTAGATACCTGTCACATAATTATTTGATTTATAAATTATGTGAAAAGAAAATTGTTGGCAGCTAAATTATTATTATTATTATAATCACCCCATTACCCATTATTAATTGTTATTAAACCAAATGAGTACAATAACACAACGTCTCTAAAAAATTGCTTAACGTTGTTAATTCTATTTCTAACTGACAAGAATTCATCGAAATTAAGTTTTATTATTCAAAATATTGTGTATTAGAAAACCTTGGCAATATTTTAAAACGGTAATTATGAACTTATCATTTATTACATAAGTATCGCTTTATTCTAAACTGTTATTATAACATTTGTTTTGTTTTCCAGATCTAACCCAACTATTTAATAAAATGAATTACATACCTATTATAAAAATTGTTTTTTTAACCCTACTTTCCCAATTATTAAAAACCATAAATATTTTGTGCACAAAATTTAATTAACTTAAAAGGGACTAACAATAAACATACTTTATTCTATTTTTTATTACATATATAAGCGGTACTCATAACAAATCAATAAAAATAATTTACAAAAGAATCGATATTATTAAAAAATATTACTATAAAAATTTAGAATTTATAAAACCTATCATTGCAACGTTTATTCAAATTATTTGTGTATAAAAATAATGTATGTTTTTAATTTAAAAAATATATGTATTGGTCGACTGAAAAATTCAATTTTGACGGTTGTCTATAAACATCTCATATTAGAAACATTGATCCATTGAAATATCTCAAAACTAATAAAATAATATAAATCAAAAGCATTTCTATTGATATTTATTTGATACGCTACTGGATAATAAAACTAACAAACCCCGCTCTTCCCCTCCTATCAACTGGCTTGTATATGTTGCTTTCAAACAAACGCAATGTAAATTTTTGACATTCAGTTATCTATTATTATTTATTTATCTGAGTATTAAACACATCCGTAAGAAATTGTTTATTTGGTTTAAAATTGGGTTCTCTCAACAAAATTTACATATATTTTAATTTTTTTATTTATTTTTCTCTATTCCGTGGGAACTTATTAATTAAACTTTTGTAAATTTATTTTTTGTCAATAAATAAATAAATCTTCAATACACAGCTGCAACTCACCAGACACTATTTTTGATTATTAATAATTATTCATTTATTTTTCAATCAGCCATCCACAAATATGTTTTTATTAATTTAAAAATCAATAATTAACCGAGTATCGAACTCATGACACGCCGGTTAACATTCTGAGTTGTCAGTCGCTCTATGCTCTCAACCACCGAAATTTAACAATTTGTTACTAATTTATTATTCTAAGGGCGAGTTGTACAATAAGCAGTTAAAATGTAATCTTAGTTTAAACTGTGAAACTTGTAATAATCATCGGTTTTTGGTAAACATGCTTTTGAAAATTACATTTTTACTTTGAATATAATCACTTAAAAATAAACTCATATTAGCTAAATTGAGTTTACAGCAATCTTTGTACAACTCGGCCTAATAGTTAATAAGATTTTAAACTTTCGCTGGAATGAAATACAACAAATTTTTTGACCAATTCTGCAATCAGCGCTTAAAACAGCATTAGTAAAATTTTTAGGAAAATTAGTAATGCTTAAAGTTTTATAGATGATTAATCCCAATTGGAGTGAATAATATTTGTTGTTTATTTAATTATTTTAGGTTCAACGAATCGGCGGCTGAACGGCACATTCCGAAATGCGCTGAATACCAATTTAACAAACCGAAACCTGGCTCAAAGTCAAAATTACCGCCAAGAAAATAGTAAATAAAAAGAAGATGGAAACGTATGTATGGATCGTTATTACCTGTTATATTTTTATACCGCTTGAATTAATGCCGAACTGCAGCGAAAATTATTTGTATTATCTAATATTTTCTATTTTTTACTATTGTATATTATACAGTTCATAAAAATAAAGAGTAATATATTCGGGTAGATATTTTATTTAGTGCAGTCTGTTTGTTTAAGTGTTCCGTGCCCATAATTGGCGAACAGGTATAATGAAAGAGGCCAAGTATTAAAAACAAAATTTGCTTTGATCAGGGCCGTCCGTAAGGGTGTACAAGTTATGCAGGCACAAAGACGGCCAAACTTAAGGGCGGCCGCAGGTCGTCGGCAAAAACAGTTAAATGCATTTTCTTTTTGAATTTATAAGAGACTGTTCGTATAAGGCGAAAAAACTTATTTTATTTATGAAACTTCAGACGATGTGTTACCTTAAAAAAACATTTAACAAATTTTTTATTACACTGTAATATAAAGAGCTTGCACATCAGTAGAAGAAATGCTTTAAAGGTTATTTGCAATCTAACCAGGGCCACCGAGAGCCATGGTGGGGCTCCGGGGCAAAACACAGTGCTCGCCCCCCATATATTATAATCTATTTTTTTAAAGCTGCCGGGCTCCACCTGGGCCCAAGACCCGAGGATTTTGCCTTTCCGGCCTCTCCCTCTCGTTAGACCTGATTCTGAATCTAACAATGTTTTCAACTTTATAATGCAGTTTTACATCACACCCGACGATTTAAATGCGTTAAGCTTAAATTGGCATTTATACAAGACGAATCAAAGGTTGTAGTTAACGAGGAACTTATGAAATAACAAATGTGACCAATTTAAAAATAAAAGATTGGAGTGTTAAAAATTACGAGTATTTTCAATCTGTGCTATTTTCTCTATGATAAAGCAATACATGTTGCGGTATTAGCCAAATGAGTAGTTGTTTTTAAGATGGAAACTATGACATGCGCTTTGAGTTTCTCTCTTTTTCATTTCGAAGATGATTTCGACCATAATTTTTGATGATGATTTCGGAATTTTCGTAGTGATTTCGGTGAATTCGAGTGAAAACGTACCAGTATTTAGGGAGTTACCCCCGAGGGAATCATTTTAAATGTAGAACAATACTAGTAATTTCCATTATTTCTACGGCGACTGGTCTAAATCTATCAACACTATTGACGACTTGCAATCGAGCAAAGGACCACGCACTTTTCTTATGCAAACGGGAGTACCGTCAAAATGTCTGAATTTTTAATGTGTTAAATTACTTGGATGTCCTTATCAAAAGTGTCCATAGGTCCAATCGTATCCTATGACTAGTTATTTGCTCATTCTGTGTAGTCAAAATACATACTTAACTACTATAATTAAAATATTGTCCCTTACAGGGTGATTAATGATTCGGCAGATCTTTTTTGGTCCAAGTAGGTATTCCCACCGAACAAAAATAGCTGAAATACCGAAAAAAAAATATCCCCGTCAAAGTCTCTCAATATTTGATATCGTATAGTACTCGATGTACTCGTTCAAAATTCTTATTGTTAAAATAGGATCCTATGACTAGTTTTCCAAATATAACTATAACAAGTAGATACCAAATAAATTAATTTTAAACAATAAATATATACTGACATAAGTAGATATTTTCAAGAGAAATATCTTATATTCGTACTTATATGGTGATCGCGGTTGAATATGTAAGTTAAAACAAGTATTAGAAATTAAAAATTTATAAAAACCGACTTCAAAAACGTGCATATGCCATCACCACATCTTAACCAAATTTATATGGGACCACCCCTGAGGTACCCCCTTTCTAACAGAAAAAGAATCATATAAATCGGACAAGGTGGTAAAGCATTATCGCTAAACATACATAAAAAATGAAGAGTTTGATAATTTTCTCATGGATCCAATTATTAGATTTTGAATAAATTTATATGGAACCACCCCTGAAGTACCCCCTTTCTAACAAAAAAAGAATGATTGAAATCGGACACCGTGTTAAAGAATAATCGCTGAACATACATAAAAAAAAAAAAATATCGCGACGAATTGATAGCCTCCTCCTTTTTTGAAGTCGGTTAAAAATCGACAAAATGTTGAAATTGTTGCCAAAAAATAGAAAATAATTGTTGTTCATCAAAAAAATAGTATAAGTCCACATACAGGATCATACTTTATTTCGGTACAAAAAAGTTGATTATATGGTAGGTCTAAGTAGGATGTGGAGAAATGATTTATGATCGCATTACAGGTTTATTTGGCTCGAGTATTGTCATAAGGGTTTTATTATCTTGTAGCTGCCCTAAACCCCTTGAGTTTTAAATCAAGCGAAGAGCTGCACAAAGCTGAGTTTTTTTAATTTTTAATTTCTCACCCCTAAGGTCCCAGCTAAATATTTTATTTGTTCACTTATTTTTATATAGGGTAACATAAAACACAATTTTTTCACACTAGCCAGAATTAATTTTTTTTTTTGGTAATTTTTGACCTGCCCTATTATACAAGCAGTGCACTATTCCTACAGAAGCTAACACTTCCCACATAACATCAATGTTCTATGAATATACCAAGAACGTTCTGTTTAAGTTCTTTTTAGTTCTTAGAACATACCTAGAATATACTTTGAAAGTATATTCTAGAAAGTATATACTGAGTACGTGCCTTAAAAGTATATTCCAAAAAGTATATATTGAGCACGTGCTATAACAGGGCATTCTTAGAAGATACTAAAAGTCATATACCCAGCATGTACCTCATATTTTGAGAATGTTCTAAATGCTTGCAGGTAAAAATTAACACCAAATACATGTAAAAACAAGTTTATATACATATCTATATGAATTTTTCCCAGATTCCGATCTAATAATTCGCTACCAAACGCACTAATGTTGAATGTTTAGGCCAAAAAACATTCTCAAACTAAAATAGAAGAAAAGAAGAAGAATAACATAACCTACAATTCCTACAAATTTTTTTGATCTCGTTTGCAAGAGGTAAGTCAATTAATAAAAATTGATTGCATCGTATGTTCTATATAAAAATAAACAAATTTTACTATATTTATAGTTTTTAGGACCTATAAGTGACGTTAGAATACAGGATATCCCAAATATTAATTGCCAGTGTGAATTTATTAATTCAGTTAATACTAATGGTGGATTGAAACTAAAATACAGTGTTACCAGAATTACATACACACTTTCTATGAAAAAAATCCTGTAAGGCCAGATATTGAACTGGAAGAACTAGAAAAGTTAGCTAAAGGAGGACGAAAACTACAAAATGGTGGTAATTAACAAAAATATATTTAAACTTTCAGTAAACATAATCATTTATGTAACTCTTGTTTTTGTTAGTGGAATGCCATGTACAATTTTTAATGTTTTATGTTCGACAAAAATATTTAAAATATCCCATTAGCTATGTACACTTAATTTGTATATGTACCAAGTTTGTTAATTTTTTTTATTTTTTAGGTTCAATAAAGATCCAATGGAATCAAGCAAATGAAACTCAAGCCATTGATACAATAAAATATTGATTGGTTAAGGCCAAAGATAGTATTTGTAATAAAAATAAGTATGAATTCTTTGAAATAAAGGCTCATTATATACACTTATTCTTTAATGTTCAATATTAATTAAACATCCTGTATTAAGGTGTCTAGCATATGCTATATTTAAATACTTAGCATATACTTAGAACATACTATCAAATTAAAGTAGATACCTGTTGCATACTGTACACATACTTGAAGTACATTCTCAGTATCTGCATAGCACCTATAAACAACGTCACGTAGCATATGCTTAGCATATTCTGAGAATGTACCAAATGCAAAGACAGTATATTCTCAGCATATGCATATTCTTAAAAAGTATATACTAAGAATATGCTAAGAATGTATAATTGTTATCTGGGTTAAAACAAAATGTATTAGGGCTTTACCTCATTGGTGACGCGGAAAGGAGATCTCAATCTGATATAAATATACAATGCTCCAGTCAAAATAAACATTTAATCCGATCATTATTCATTTCCCTAGATTCTACTTAGACCTACCGTATAATGAACTATTTTGTAATGAAATAATGTATGACCCTGTATGTGAACTAATAAGATTTTTTTAATAAACAGCTCGCAAGTTAAATGGCAATTATTTTCTATTTTTTGCCAACAATTTCAGCATTTTGTTGATTTTTTCACCTTACATATTCAACCGCAATCACCCTGTAAGTACGAAATACTTTTGGCTCCCCTTAAATAGTACAAGGGGTATATTTTTAATTCAACGCAGTGTCAAAGTATTTAATATACAGTATTTCTCTGGAACATATCTACTTATGTCAGTATATTTATTGTTTAAAATTCATATATTTGGTACATATTAAGTTATATTTCGAAAACTAGTCATAAGATCTAATTTTACCAAAAAGAATTTTGAACGAGTACATCGAGTACTATACGATATCAAATATTGAGAGACTTTGACATTGATATTTTTTTTCGGTATTTTAGCTATTTTTGTTCGGTGGAAATACCTACTTTGACCAAAAAAGATCTGCCAAATCATTAATCACCCTGTAAGGGACAATATTTTAATTATAGTAGTTAAGTATGTATTTTGACTACACAGAATGAGCAAAAAACTTGCAAAAATATTTAAGGGTGATTTATGATGTCCATTTTAAAGAACTAGGGATTTCTAACTTCAACACCCTGTATCTCAAAATCTAGTTATAGGATACGATTGGGCCCATGGACACTTTTGATGGGGACATCAAGTAATTTAACATATCAAAAATTCAGACATTCAGACTCCCGTTTGCATAAGAAAAGTGCACGGTCCTTTATTAGAATAAAATACAATTTAGAAAATACAACTAGTTTATTAAAGTGGTCCTAGATACAGCATACGATATAAGTCAACAAAATAATTTACAATTGTTTCAAAGTGATACGTTCAGTCATCATAATACGTGTTAATTTATATTAAAATAAACAGGATGATTATTGACAAAAATTAATCAACTAATGCAAAATCTGAATTTGCATAAAGTATTCTTAAGGTATTTATTGTGAGTTGTTATTTACAGAATAATATAAAAATTACTGAAACTCCTAATAAAAGTGAAATTGAAAAATACATCACC